ACATGTAGACAGTCAATAGTGTGGATCCCTCTTGAGATATGTATTCTTTAGGTCAAGGAAAAGCGGCCTAAAGTCGTAGGCTTCTACTTGGCCGCTGATCGTGAAAATACATTCGCCATGAAGCTCTACAACAGTATTGGCTTCGAAGGGCTAACGGGTGGGCTATAGAATCCCTAGTCGGGGGTGAAATGTCGTTGGAATATGCATGATTAGGTAAATCTGCCTTCTTCCGTTACATTTACCCGACTGCCGACCAATAACCCATGATGATGTGCATGCTTCCTGATGTATGTGAGAGAACCTCCTCACTGTTGTGATCATCCACAATTACTGTCGCGTTGTACCGTTACTAAGGACCTCAGTCCAAGGTTCTCTTATGAGATGTGTTGTGATACTCTCAAGTGGCTGTAACACCAATATGCTACGCATTCCTGGCGCTTGAGTCTCATAGAGATCACTTAACGACAGTTTGCTAGCAGGTCTAACCAATCTAGCGATGGATTTGGACTTCAATCTAAACACAAACCTATTCCAGAGAACACCCTGGGCCTATTTCATAGAGCATTTTATTTGAGGTCTCGGGTGAGATGCCCTATAAAATAGGCTGATGATTTTACCGGTAAGAATATATTTCGTAAGCAGAACTATTCCGCAGGACTAGTTCCTTCGGGTTAACTAGGTTAATTGGTAAACCTAAGGAAGTCAGTCTTTGAGGAATAAGAACCTCGTTGAGGAAGAGATCGTTAGAATCTTCACTTGCAGAGCGCGCGAGCTCTATAAGATACCTAGCAGGTAAGTTGTTGAATGATTCACTAGAAAGGACTGTTGGGTCGCAGCTCGAAGCGAATGGCTCCTGAATGGCTCAAGTACATATTGTTTGACTTGTACGTAGTGCTCAGAGAATGACATCGTGCCTCCACGAACAAGCTTGCTCATAAACTGATCTATTTACCCGTTTGAAGTCTGGAACTCCCCCACCCGCATTCATTTCTACATGAGAGTTGCGTTTCACTGGTGCATACCATTTTCGTATAATGCGAGGTTGCATTGACAGCAAACACGGAAATGTGCAGTAATGCTGACTGACAAACTCATAGCTCGTTATTGATAGAACAAGTCTCGTCAACTACAACACGAGGGATGAACTCAATGTTGAAGAGACTCAATGGCAGAGTTGTTGCCATCAGTGATATGCTGCGGGAAGCCCTCGGCACTCGAAGCATCATACAACTTATTGTACTGGGGGTGGAATGGAGACAGCGCCACAGCGACGAAGTCCACCGGCACCGTGTCGGTCGGAACAATGGCCACTGGTATCTACCAGGCAGAAGGTGATCATCAACTGTGGACATCATGGGGTAGACCTACCGCTGAGAAAAGTCGCACAGTCACTTGACGGCCCCGACGCTCATCATTTGGATGATCCCAGTCGTAAACGACCTGGCCAGCCCTGTAAGATACTGACGCGGGCTTCGTTAATAAACTCAGCTCCTGCGCCATGTTGGGATTCTGTTGCCCCTTATAGAAAGGCAAAGTCACATTGTAGTATCTACATTGAAGGTATCGAGAGCTGCTGTAGAATGAGCGGGTTTAAGGAACTTACACTTGACATTCCTTGACGAATTTGGGGATGTAAACAGACAAGCTATTCTCTTTGATAGCAACGACAGTGCCAGTAGTATAGTGAAGACTGTCTCTCGTGCGGAGATAAATACAGAAGAAAGTAACATCAAACTTGGTTTGAGCCTCACGACTGGCCTTCTTCATCTCTGACACACAGGTCATCAGCAATGATCGTGTTAGCAAATAAGCATACTGTTGCACTCTTCGCATTGCGCTTCATGTTCCTGGGCGGTCATCTTCAACGTTTTCTTAGCGCTTGGTTGCAACTGCAAAATCAGCAGTGTCTCAATCATAAACAGCAAGCGTCGCTTATCGCTTGTCAAGCGATAAGACCCCTTACGAGGATCTGCAGCTGACGATGCACCATAACATCAGCATATCGACGGATGGGCGACGTGAAGTGAGTATACAGGGGGAATGCCAGAGCATAGTGAGACACGCTACGACCATCCGACCCTTGTATACCATACCTGAATGACAACGATTTAAGTCAGGATATATCGCACTATACAGGATTCCTAGTGGGCAATAGACGGAGTAATAATTCGTCAATAGTCCCAGACGTTGCTGGAAACTCTTGATCCCTACTCTGCTGGACGCATAGTCTTCATGACCATGTTCTCTATCGCTAGACCAGCCCCAGGCGTGAGCTCCTTCTTAACATTAGTCAATGCCTTGAACACCAGACCGCTATCCCCACCATCGCCAGCACACCATATCGCCTTGGATACACCTTAAAAACATCAGTCGACAGCGGGAATGCCTTAGATAATACCTAAGTCTTCGATCAGCAACTTTGTGATCTTCTCGAAACCCTCTTTAATTGGTCTGTCATGGTGACGCAGTACAGCCATATCACTCATCTGTTCATCCTTGTTATTAGCGATAGCAGTAGCAACACAACGGTTGGCAGCAAGCATCAACTACACATAAACAGGGCTGAGCCGAGAATCGAACCCGGGACCTCTCGCCGTCCGAGCGACATTCTTACCCGTAGGCCACGGGTACGAAAAAAAAACCGAATAAGGAGCGAACAGAAAACTTGAAAAGCAATTGAAATATAGCATTTTCGCCTCTATTTCATTCCAGTCCTCGTTCTTCTAAACTCTTAGCAGACTTCTTCAAATGCTTACATTTCACCGTGGACCACGAGCGTAGGCCATCATAGACCAGCATGGACCACGGGGGTAAGCTTTTCTCGACAGTTACGGGTCCTTTCGTTTTCTTGAAGACGGAATGAAATAGAGAATCTCCGCTTGCTTCTGCCCATGTATTTGCGAGAGTGTGAGCTACTGTTCTCGTCTGCCGCAGTCATGCTCTTGTCACCTGCTGTGCGCGCATATTTCGCCGCGTGCTACTTTCGCGCTCGCCCAAAAATGCAAATCGCTCGACCAGCATAATTTCCCACACATCTCTAATTGTCCTAATGCCCGGCCGTGGAAGACCATCGAGGCGACAAGATAGACAATTTGCTCGAGAAATATGGACAAGATTTTGATACGGTCTATAAAGAGTATTTCAGGTGGTTCTTGATGGAGAAGTCTCGGAACCCTGAGTCTCTGATCTTCGACACATCTCGATACCACCTTGAGCAATATGCAAATGCTAAAAAACGAGAGCAGGCTAACGCGGCAGCACGGGTGCCAGATATCGAGACAGGCGCGAAGAGGGTTAGAATGAAGTCAGTTCTGAGCTCGGGGTCGAAGGCGGTCACACCAGCTGTATTAAGCCAGAAAGAACAGCCAAGACCAGCTACGGAACCCGTGAGACCAGCGAGACCAGCCTCTCCAGTACCGCATAAGGATCCCAGGAATATCCCAGTAATCGAGGGAGTGAGATGTGGTCTCTGCAACCAGGTCCGGAAAGGTGAGTATCGATTTGCTGTGCACTGAGCGGTCTCGACAGTGTTTTCTATAGGAACACACAGGCGACCCTATGTACTGTTTGAAGGTCGTCGACATGTAGGACCTTGGTATTGTCCTACGTACGACGGCGACTTCGATAATTGGCGCGAGACTCGGCAAATGGCCGAGTTCCTGCGAATCAGAGCCGCTCGAGAGGCGGGCGAGCGCAACCGCGGACGCCCTAAGCGTATGCCCGGGACCGCAAATACGGTGACCGAATGCGCGCCAGATGATGATGAGACTGGTGCGCCGAATGCTGATGCAATCCAAGAAGCTAGTGATCACGCTTCTGGTCCGCCTCGGAAAATGCCGCGCTGCGGCACCTGCAATAAGTATCGCACCGCAGCTACTGGTCATCGCAAGCCCAGAATTGGAGGAAGATCTGCCGGATGGTATTGCCCATCCATCCCCGGGACATTCGAGGAGTGGCTCGAGGCCCGAAGCTCAGATACGCATGGCAAGTCGTAGTTCATAATATGTGTGTGTATGTGTTATTTGTCGAACAGAATGTGGATAATGAGTGATTGAATCTTGGCATTGCTTAGTCTTAATTGCCGCGGATACAATCTTGTAGCAACTCGAGTCACGGCATATGATAATAGCATGGCTCATGCACGAAGCAGGCAAGCAAATATTGCTGTGTGCGACATCGGTGACGGTGAGTGACGTCAGCACCGGTGGGTGACGCCAACCGCCTCAGTCGACCCGGCTGCCATGATACCTCGGGGCTTGAATCTACATCCAGTATGAGCTGAGCCTCGTCGACACACGTGGGAGGTATATCATCGAAGGCTTCATTTCAATCCATCTCAGATTTCCATATTTCACATCGATTTAATGTAGTAAATTATTTTAAAATATTTTTTTCGCGCCTTCGGCGCGAATATCACACAATAACGCGCAGCTGTCAGCAGTACAGCTACTAGCGATAGCAGTAGCAACACAACGGTTGGCAGCAAGCATCAACTACACATAAACAGGGCTGAGCCGAGAATCGAACCCGGGACCTCGCGCACCCGAAGCGCGAATCATACCACTAGACCACACAGCCACAATATCTACACCCCACTCCCAAGCCCAACCCCTTCCCTCACCTCTTCGATGAGCCAGTGACTAGGTGTGTGCGATTCCAGACCGTACCCGATAGGCAGATTAGTCTCTGGGTCGATTTTGAACAGAAGCTTATGCTTGTCGATTCTCACCGAGCCATCCTCGAAACGGTTCACACGAACCTGTCACACACAATCAGTTCCCATCCCGAAATACGACCACACTACTACTTTATGACAGACTTCGTAAAGGAGATGAAGATCGTTTTCTACATCCTCCCAAGTGTGACCATCAGTCACCGGTGGTCTAAACACACCAAGTTCACCAGACCGGCATCTAGCGTTGCAGCATCTCACCGTTGCTCCAGATGCTTCCCATCTAATACATCCTGGACTTCATCGTAGTTGAATCGACAACACGATTTAATCGCCGATTTGTAGAACTTCGGGCCATACGAACAGTGGAACTGAATGTTCATGCGTGCAAGTCGAGTATAATTTTTCACAAACCACACACATCTTTTCCGTCATCTACGCCGATGATTCTTCCTGTATCAACGTTGATCCTGAATGATGCCGTGAAAGTCAGCTTGTGCTCAGCCGGATTCAAACTGCACAGTTTCGCACATAACCCTTCTGGCAGCATAGGGAACATCTGAAAAATGAAAATGATCTTATCCCAGATGAGATTGAAAACAAGAAATGCGAACAACGCATGGTCGTAACTCACCCTGTGACAAAGATAGACAGAAGTGCATCGTTTCTGTGCTTCTTGGTCTACCGCGGACCCTGAGGGGAAAAGCTGACCTACTTTGAATCCTACGAGCTGGAACCTAAGATACTACCCTGCTTCACATAGTGAGCGACATCAGCTATATGAACTCCCACTTCAACTGTATGCTCGTCAACTACATCAATACTTATCGCATCGTCCTGCAAAAAATAATTCCAACAACTTTAACTTCACGTATGATACCAAATCTCGAGCCGTTGCTGGATCTACAGTGAAGATACGCTTCTTAGTGAGATCTCTCCGTGAGCTGCCCGGTCGCATTTCCCTCCTGTACTCAGTTTCTGCATCAGCCACCATCCTGTCGACCTGAACAACTTCACGCTACATGAAATATCTCAAATCAGTGTGGGAAAATTCGTGGAAATTTTGAGGAAATTCTCATTGGTCTCTGTACACTCCTACCAAATTTATATGTGAACTCCTATAATTAGCCAGCAAACTCGTGGGCTCAGCAGAGGCAAGCAAACATATATCCCTCCTATGAACATGTCATGAACCCTGACGAAAGTCGGCGTATACTCGCCAAAACTAACGGCCTTACAAAAGCGACCAGTCGTATTATCAAAACTTTGGGTAATATACTAAAACCAGCCGCTAAGAAAAAAGTGGAAAAAAACGAAAAAAAAGGCAAGTTATTAAAAATTTTGGTAGGATACTGATTCACCTTGGAAATGCAGTAGAGCTAAAACGAGGCCGCGCCAAGCAGCAGTACCTCTTGGTAGATTTCCCGGCTGAAGTCGGCTGCATGATGCTCAAGGTTGGCCTCCTCCAGGCACGCTGCCGTCTCTGCCGCCAAGTCACCAGCACACCCAAAAGGCTTGCCAGCCAGTCTGAGGTACACGAATGTCGTCATACCACACCTTCGACAACTCCTACTTCCCCAACGGTAACACCGAGTTCGTTCCCCATTTCATAAGCTGCACCGGTATCATCATACGCCCATTCAAGGGACCCGGCACATGCAAGATACGAGATACAACATCGTTAACCTGCCCAGTTCATTCTACGATGTGGCCAAGGAGTGGTATGAGACTCGCCTGGATCAGCATCCATGGCAATCTCCTATTCATCGGTTTCGCCCTGATGAACTTGTCCCCTGGTTGTACCATCGTAATCAGCGGATCCTCATCTGAGAGAATAACCAATAGTAACGTACGAGTGATATCAACAGACCACATGCGCGAACGAAATCAGCACCATTACGGTATGGTGTAGATATCCTTCACTGAAAATGATGAACAGTTATATACTCTTATACTCTTGTGAACTGATATGAACTAAGCACTACTACTACTACTACTACTACTACTACTACTACTACTACTACTACTACTACTACTACTACTACTACTACTATTACCAATAGCTCCATCAAGAGGATCCCCATTGTTTCCACCACCCGTCTTGTTAGCCTCCAGCGTGCATACAAATCTAATCGCAAACACTACGACCAGCATGTGACCGTCTGCCGCGTACGGATGCCCCATCCAAGATCTCTTCAGGACGTATACAACTACCGCCGTTCGGTAGCACACCGACGCCGTAGACTCCCCACTGACATCGGACTCCTCGGAGCTGTCATTAGCAACAGCAGCATCTTCACCACGACCCTCGCATTTGGCCAGCCGTCTGAATATCGCCAAAATAATACACTACAAAATTTCCTGGAAAATTTAATGTTTGCGAGAATTTACCCATTTATGCCGGAAAAAAGTTTTTCGGAAATTTCCACGTTGATAGATCAACGACTTCACTAAAATTTTCCGGCAATTCATCAAAAAAGTCGGTAAAAAATAAAAAAAATGTGCATTTTCTTGAGGCGAAATATTAAAAATTACGGTACAACATAAAATTATCCAAGAAATTTATGTAGCCGAAGTGGCGATCCTAAGCAACTACCCAGTAAGTCCACACCATGCAGATACTCAAGATGTAAACGAACAGTAGTTCAAGCCTGTGCTGGTCTATACTCAGCAATGCTCTCAACAAGGAGTTAGTTTTCACCACTGTTCAGCAGTGTGGGGGGGGGATATGTAAATGGTCAACTATACGTGTTGGGAATAATATAAAAATTTTGCGGAAATTTTTGCTGCCTTCTGTACATTTCTACCCAAAGTCGTATGTAAACTTCTACAATTAGTGAGGAAACCCCTGAGCTGATAAAAACGAGTACACATCCCAACACTGCTGGTCCGTAAGGAACTACAAGTCGGACTCGACTGCCTCGTCGACCGACCGGAGTCCCCATGGATGCTGGCTAATCTCACTATCACCAGCATCGAGCTCAAATGGGGCCGTGCTCATGTGCCTAGCAACTACGCCCTAGCCGAACATTCCACGTACGATAGAGGCAATCGATTCGAGATGACAACTGGTGGGATCGAACCCGGGACCTCCTACTTAATATCAGCTCTAGTGGGCACGAGATCATCCTCGTCACTAGAGGAGATGCTTGAACTACGGCCCCGTGCAGGGCCTTTCTTGTTTCCAAAATCTTTGAATTCCGGTGCAATACGGAGTTGCATGCCGCTCGTTTTAGACACCTAATGTGAAGTATATCAACAAAAATGAAGGGCAAAACTCAGCTCATGTTCGAGGAACCGCCATCGCTTTATGCAACCGCCACGACCACAATTATAATTCCGATTTCAATACACGGTGACAGATTCCCTCTAACTACCCATTGGTCTGAAGGCTTCAAGCGTACAACTACTTCATCACCATGTAGCGCCCTGTTGCGGTCGAATTTCCCCTTGATCAAAATGTCAACATTATCCTTACTGAAAATAGCAGCAGTGGTGACACTCAGAAGATGATGGAGCGTGTCACGGCCGAGCCCAGCATTTATTACTCGTCGATATCCCGGGTCCGATCAGGTTTAACTCGGAGAAACGCATCATTCGGCGTCTGCTGAACTACCTAATAACAAGCGTTGTATTCGAACCCGATACCTTCGGATGCACAACCACGATCACTAACCATCCAACCAAGCCCCCACACTACTTGAAGTAGGCCTGAGATCAAGGACCCGTCGGCCAGACCTGCTTCGGCTTCCTCCCTGGTGATATATTCCGGGTAAGGTTGACGTGACATCTTATCCACGTTACAACAATCGGGAATGAATACAACTGCTAAAATCCGTACCATAACTTCCGCAACTTCCCCGAAACGCCGGGGTGAAGCAGGGTGAATGCGAAACACTATGAACCGCTCAGCTGATAAGAAGACCACCTCCCCCCCTGGCAAGTTCCACCATCGTCGTTCACACTCAACACAACCATAGTTATCCCAGTAACAGATCTCAAGTGCCAGAGTGGAACACACGTAGTTCCCTCACTGAACAGGCTCCAATCTATAGTCACGAATCCGAGACGACCATAGACTCATCACGAAAGGACACTCCCTAGAGTTTCGCAAGAAAACCATACATGATTTTCGGACGATTTTTGGTTCAAACACCGGCCTTAAAACGACCTGGTGATATACGGTAAAATTTTTTCCTAGAAAATCAGCGTTTCACATTCAACTCTGACCCCCTCCCACGCACGATCGCCGACTTCCACCTTCGCAAGTTTGATCGACCAGTGTAACTCTCCTGTCGCTTCTGGCGTTATGCTATACTCGTTCATAGTAAACCCTGAGCAATCGAGTACTCACCGGGATTGAAGTCCCCAAGCTTGCCCACACGAGCGATAGAGCTGCTTATCACAATAGGATCACAGGAAACGCATAATGACGATGCCGTTGACAGAAACTACAGCAAAACTTTCATTATCCACGAGAAACAATTTTCCCTCAATTTTGTCATTATCTCTTTCCTCTACGGCATGTTAGCATCTATCATCAATACTTTCATACTACACAGACATAATCGTGCGTGAAAATTTCCCATTCTCATTATTCTATAATCGCCTTCGCATATCTACGGCAGCTGACCCTTTCCCTTGATACCGTGGAAGACCTGCTGCCAGCAACGCAATAGTGCCAAGCAGAATTCTTCGATCATTTAGTATCAATCAATGATAATGCTGATACTCCCGTGAGCATCCTTAAACACGACTCCGCTTAGTAGTACAATCTGTAGGGAAATGCTCCTTCCTGATGAAGCGACTACCTCCACTTCGCTGTTTGCCCGATTCAGACGTTCCTTAATAACGAGTAATACATAGCCACATTTATCTCCTCAAAGTCGCCGAGAGGGTCTTGGTCCAAGACCCTCCTATCAACAGAGCCTGCTGAGGCCATCCATGACTCTTGAATGGATTCTCTTCTTATGTTAGCATCACAGTCAAAATGGACGGAGCACCAGGTTTCGCCAACTCACCAACTTTGGTGATTTATTGTTTCTAGGGGATTTAAGCAACTTGGCGATATGCGTGATACGGCCAGGATTTTACGGGATTTCACCAAGCTGGTCGGCTCGCCGTACAGAATTCAGCGCATCCGCTGAAATCTGCACGGAACCGTCCGCCAAGTCCGCTCGGCGAAGTGATCTATTCTGCGCT